TCTTGTTCCCTATTGTAGGGACCTCCATTCAGCTAAAAAATATGGAAGACAAGGACTTTGTCTTATTCCCCACTACTTTCCTAAGTCCCTAAAGAAGAACCAAATGCACAACCTGAGATCAAGACACTTACAGCTGAATGGAAGATATTGGAAATATCTCTGAGTCACTGGGAGATAAGACCACAGAATAATGTTAATTAATACAACTTGGGTAAAAAGTATATTAAAGAATGACAAGAATAAATTTTCTTTTTAGAACTAAAATTCATCTACTTAACATTTACCTATTTATAAGAAGCAATTGATAAATTTATTCTTCTCCATTTTATTTGACATTTTGGTATAAGATCAAAACACAGTAGCACATAATATTGGAGGTTCAAAAGTATTTCAAGCAGTGGCTGCATAATTCCAGGAAGTACAGTTCCATCATAAATACTCTGAAGAAAAGCATTTTACCTGCCTTTTAAAAAATTATTTTAGTTGGGCATGATGGTGCACACCTATAATCCCAGTGACTCGGGAGGCTGAGGCAGGAAGATCACAAGTTCAAAGCCAGCCTCAGGAACTTGGTGAGGTCCTAAGCAACCTAGCAAGACCCTGTCTCAACCTAGAAAATAAAAAGTGGTTGGGGATGTGGCTCAGTGGTTAAGCACCCTTAGGTTCAATTTCCAGTACAAAAAAACAACAACAAACTTTTTTAAAAATCTGCCTCGTTTCATAGTCTCATCAGAATATCACTTCATTCCAGCATAAATCTGTATGTAATCTACAATGTTAAGTGAAATATTGTCCTGCAAGAGATCTCAAAATATTGTTTACTAGAATAATGCTAATCCAAGAGTTAAACTGACTATTCCAAGACACTATAATTCTACTATGACCTGAAGTCATGGTTATTTTGTCAATGCATATGATGAAATGAGGTGATTCTACATTCCAGTGTTTCCTAAATATTACTTTAATATATCCTAGTGAATGTAATTCTGAATCAAGCAGGTTACTGAACATTGCACAGAATGGTTCTATTCATTTGCTTGTGCTTAAGAATGGAAATTCTTCAATGCCAAATTTTTTAAATTCACGTTTCTCCTTATCCTGGCTAACATACATACATAAATATATACATGAATATATACTATAATTCTTATTTTCCTTAATTTTACATCTCTACTTTTCCTCTTGAAAATAAATGAAAAACCTCCTTCTATAAAAAGTTTGCTAAAATAATTACAAATAGGGCTGGGGTTGTGGCTCATTGGTTGATTGCTTGGCTCCCATGTGTGAGGCACTGGGTTCAATCCTCAGCACCACACAATCAATCAATCAAAAAATGTGTTGTGTCCATCTACAACTAAAATAAAAATAAAAATAAATCATGTATACACCCACACACCTGGTTTCTCAATCCCTTAAAAGTAAAGTCTATCTTTTTATCAATGTCATTATGGAGTACTGAGAATTATTAAGGATTAATGTAGTTCCACAAATGTATAAATGACCAGCACATATGTTCGTCTTCAGAGAGCTGAGGAACTATGAATAAGGAATGGGGCTATATCTCAATGACAGAACATTTATAAGCTTCTCCCATGAAGCAGTTTCTAGCATTTCCTTTTGATACTATTTATCAGAAAAGAGCACTTTCATAGAGTAAGCAATGAAATAAAGGATATAGGTAGAACTCCTTTAAATAATATAAACAAACCTTTTAAAAAACAGAGAAAACAATTAATTTCCTTAGGCTAAATATGATTTAAATTAACTGGCACAAGTAAACCACATCTTCAAACTTAATTCTGAAGGACACTTAGTGTATTTCAGCTGACACTTACGTCCTGAGGAGATGATTTCATAAACCAGTAAGCTGACAGAATGGGCCTGCCTTAGTTCTTTACCTAGATATTTAAAAACCAATAATGTTTTGAGAAAAGATAAAAACTCAGGTTCATTTTTAAAACATTTCTGACTCACCATGGTCTTTATTAAACACCAACTATTCCTTCTCACTCAACTCCTGGGACAATCATAATCCCAGCCTCCACATCCAAATATTTCCCTAATTTCAAAACAACTTTCCACATAAGTACAATTTAAATTGCTCAAATAACTAATTGTCTTTTATTCTTTGTAGATGTTAATTTCAGAGGCAAAAACAAATAAATAAAGGAGGGCATCTGTTACTAAGGATTTAGCAATTTAAGGGTAAGGAATGAGGAGACCGAAGAACATTGGTTACAATAATACATATAAAGTACTTTATGGTTTATCAAATACTACCACATTATCTCTTCTGAGTAGCTCACCGGTCCACTGACAACTGAGCAGTGGAGCTGGGTGGACAGAAAGGAACTGCCCACAATTATATAAAGGACACAATAACTACAGAAAAAGGAAACACTTTTCTCCTTTGTCCTAAGAACTTCACAGAGCTATACCTTGGAAAGGAAAAGGATTCCAAAGCCAAGGGCCCTTAAACAAATATACCCTTCTCCTACACTTGGGAGAAATCAGCACTGATATTCTAGTTAATGTTACCTGTAGAGCTTCATAGAAGGAATTCCTTATTTGAGAAATAACTAATGCAGAGATTAAAAGCAATGGACACAGCATACATTTCTTTCACACCTACGTCCTTCCACCAGTTCACTATCCTTACCACAGATAGATGTAATAGTTAATACTGACTGTTCACAGCTTATTCTCTGCTGATGGGTCCCTTTATTCCTTTAGTATACATTAAGGTGACTTTCCTAAGGATCCCTAAGTATTAGTAACTCTGAAAGAAAAAACATTAAGACCTAGATTAATTGTTTTATACCAAAGTATAAATGACCCTGTAATTAACAATGTTTTCTGACATTCAGAGTGCGTTAGACTATCTCCTTGGCACTCCATCTGCCACTCAAATAGTTTAACTGCATGCCAAAGAACTTGAATGCTGACACTAGATCAAATTAATCTACAAGCACGAAGAGATTTGCTACAGTACATCTGAAACAATGACTGCACTTTACAAATTAACTGGGACACCACTTTCATCCACTCTCCATTAAAAGTTAGTTTATAAAAAAGTAATTCCTTTACACCCAACGTATATTTCACTTGGGCACTCATCAATGTCACAAACGCCATCCCCCACATAATCACCAAGTCCCTCATCATTAACCCTTGTTATCTGCCCAGCTTCAGTAATAATTTACTATATAACTTCTTCCTCTCCTCCTCACCTCCACCAGGTCCTACTTTCACTCCCTCTCTACACCTATTAGAATCATCACATATTCTTACCTAGATAATTTTATACACTGCTTGATTCTCATGTTTCAGAGGTTTAACTGCACTGTTTCTAGAACTACCCATTTCATATAGTAGTAAAGTCACACCTTGTCCAGGAATGGTCCCTAACAAACCTGCAATGATGGCAATGGCAGGGGGGCTGCCTGCTCAGTCTGGGCTGCTTAGAACCAGCAGCCATTTCTCTTGCACCCACACCCAGGGACACAGCCACTTTCTTCCCTTGGCAGCTGCTCTGCCCACTCTGCTCCCCCTCTGACAGCCAAGTGGGATGCCCAGGTTTCAACACCTACTTCTGATAATGGCCAGGGCCTTTTGTGGTTTGCAGGCTTGACTACCAACCTCTACAAGGAAGCACTAGGTGTGAAAGCTTGGGGCACTTAGAATTCTCACAGCTGTGGTCTTTGGATTGGTAGCTTCTGTGCCCTACCACCTATCAGGCTTGGCTTAACAAGCCTTTCCCTTCCTTAAATAAATGTAATCTAAAGCAGTGATTCTAGACTCTCAGAACTTAGGAGCCAGTAAAAGGGAGGGGATAAATGACTCCAGATAAGTTTGTTTTTGTTTTTAGCTTAGTAAAGGATATTAAAAACAAATAAAACCTTTGCATTTATATTTTTAAAAATCCATCCTTCAAACTATAATAAATTTATAGGGCTTGGGTTGTGGCTCAGAGGTAGAGCACTTGCCTAGCATGTGTGAGGCACTGGGCTCCACCCTCAGCACCACATAAAATAAAAAATCAAAGATATTGTGTCCATCTATAACTAAAAAATAAATATTTTAAAAAATAAATTTATCTGTATTAAAAATCTCACTATTCTTTCATACTCATTTTGCTATAGTGAAATTAAAATAAGTTACATTAAGGAGGTGGCACTGGGGAATAATAACTTAACCTAGCCCCACTTTCAGTCATGGCCAGAAGATATAATAACATCTGCAGCTCAACTATACAGTTCTAAACTCATCCACAGCAATCCCCACTTTCCAAAATGCATGGAACAAATACTGTGCCTAAAAATAGAAGAAAGCTGGAGCCTGAAGCCCTGGGATACTTGCAGTCCTCTGGGTCTAGCAACTAAGCCTGTTAGTAACAGAAGATTCTGAAGGAGACAGAGGCCACTTCATTTAGTCACTAATTACTGCTAGTAGTAAGAAAGCAAGAAGTATAGTTTAATACCTTCAAGAAATAAATTAGGCTAAAATGCAGAATTAAAAATCTATAATATGAAATCTAAATATTTCAAATCCCAAATTATATATGTATTTGCTTGTCCTTAATAAAGAACAGCTGGGCAACAAGGCTAGCTCCTCATTAGTAAAAGTAGGCCAGAAAGGTGGCAGAAAATCTCAAATTGTGCACATCCCCCAAAATTTATTACTAAAAGCTAAAGCTATTTAAGACTAAAATTTTAAAAGTCAAAGGCTTTCTTTCTGCCCCAGTTATTATATACATAACAGCTCAAAAACCATTCTTAAAAATACTCTTAGCATACTTTCATATGGTACATAAACCTGCAGTAGGAGATCTTAATACAAATATAAAGGTGGGTCATTTCCTCCCTTTACAAGGCATCGGTATTTTATGAATGTCATTACTTGAAAGTGGGGCGGGGGGTGGGGGCAGAATCAAAGCAATTGACATGAGAAAGCACAATGTTATATTAAAAACTTCTAATAAATGAAAGTATTTTACTTACGATGTTCCTTGCTGAGAATTAGGGTGAGTTTTTGAAGGTGCATCATATTGTTCTGTGGAGAGGGAGACATCATCAGAGCAGCACAGTGACACACAGTTATGAGATTAGTTGTAAATTCCCTTTTTGCCCCTTCCTCCCTTTCACCTATAAATTCCGTCCACCAGAGTACTATCCATGGCACTTAGTATAATTTCACCATTATAACATTTATGTTGCTTTTAGAGAGAAGGCTTGTGCAGAGAGTAGGATGGGGGGAAGAAAAACAACTTAATAGAAGAAAAACACTCTGGAAAGCAGTGTATGCATGTCTTCCCATGTTGCCAGGAACTGTCCTCAGTGTGGGAGACTTTTCTGCTCCTGATGACAGCTGATTGAAGCCTATGACAGTGGGGCTGCTCTCCACCCCCATGTGGCTTGATTCGCAAATCTATCAGGGATTGGATAGCTTTCCTTTTAGAGCCTCCTTCCTTGCCTGATTAAGGTGCTCCCATTCCACCTGTCCCTCCATTATTCGCTCCTATGCCCCAACTCATTCACTCACCCTCTATTTATAGACTGCCCACTAGACAGCAATAGGTCTGAGGTATCTGGTCCAGTCCTCAGTGAGCTTACAGTTGACTTCAGGACATGAAAAGATGCACAAATACCCACACTCTTAGGCAGTCTGAGTTAAGTACACTAAACAGTTGCATAATTTTACTGTCAATAGTCACTCTATTGATATTAACCACCCAAGAAAAATTAAAAGAAAGAATAAAATGGATTGTGTACTAAGGTCAGGTGGGATGCTCACAGAATGACCACAGGAGGCCTTCAGGCAGAAGGGGTGAACATATGTAAAGAAGTGGGAGGAGTTAAAACGATCCAGATTTGCAAATGGTAAGACTGAGTATAGAATCTGTGGTGGACAGCACTAGAAGACAGGCAAGAGTCAGATTTCAGAGCGCTCTGCATGCCAGGATGGGGAGTCGTAGCTTTATTACTTGGGCAACAAGATGCCATCAATGATCTAAACAGGGATATGACACAGCTGTGCCTCAGAATGAGTAATCCTGTAGCACTACCTGGTAAAGCTAGAAGGGAGAAGGAAGTGTCCAGTGTGGAGGAACAAACCAGTTGGAAGGTAGCCGTTATTTGTCTAGACATGAGGTAACAGGAAGCAGAAACAGAACTGAAGTGGAAAAGAAAAATGGGTTCCTTTTAGTCAGGGGTGAGTGATTCTTCCCAAGGATGCCTTAGAGAGACCCTTCTATATTTGCACTTAATCACTTCATCCTCCGGGTGGCAGCAGCTCTTATGTGGTATTTTCAAATTGTCTTCCCTTCTGACTAGACAGCTTGGATCAGGAATACAAATCAGAGTGATGAAAATCACTCTTCAGGCCATTCACCTGGACTCCCACATAGTCACCCTGATTGGAATCCATGCATCACAGGTTCTAGGCAGCCTTAAGCAGCCATGTTTGCAAACACAGTTATAAACAGTGGGACAAACATAAACTTCCTATATTGTTCCTCCTTACCATGTACCAATACCATAAGATCATTGTTGAAGAAACCTGGATTCAGTCTAGGCTTCCTTTAAGAAATATAATATGTATATTCTACTCTTCATTTTAATACACACCTCATCCCCTCTTCATCCAATAAATAAGATACCATTTTTCCAGACCACAGAGGCCACATTCTCAAAAAGATAAACAAACCCCCAGAATACCAAGAGGCAAAGTGGGAAACCCCATGAAAGATGTGGCACAAGCAGCTGGTGAGTCAATACCTAGAGGAGACCCTTCAGTGCCTGCCAACCTCTCATCAGAATTACAAGGGATCAGCCCATACCACTGCACTGACTGAAAAGGTGATTCATCCCTGATCAAGAAAGTGCTTACAAGTATCTTCAAACAACTCAATGGATTTAAGGTTCTTTCTAAAGCAAGACTCAGCAAGCACACAGGCCATGAGCAACCAACCCAGTAGGGGGCATATAATGTGCCTGAGCAGTCCTAGCAGATGGAGGGGAAGCAGGAGGTAAAGAGGCACATAGCAACCCTATGCACAGTTGGGTTGGCATTCCACCTTCAGACCTATGCCATTGCACTGGGCATCTATCCTTAGAGTGGCTGCCAAAATGCTGAGAAAAAAAGACTTCCCAATTTTCCCAAGCAGCCATAAAGTTTAGCTAATTTTACCTTGCTACTTATACAATAATACTGAGGTAAGAGTCAACTTTATTTCCTCACATTTGGGGGAAATTTTATAAGTTCTTTTGTGAGATCTTATTCCATATCTCTAGAGCAGAGAACAACAATCCTTTCATATGAAAGTCAGATAATAAATATAGTATTTTAGGTGCTATGCCTTGTAGAATAATTAAGTGGGAAGGGATATGGCCCAATAAAACTTTGTTTACAAAAAATAACTACAGGGCAGATCTGACTCACAAGCTTAGTTTGTTCATTCTTGTTCAGAGGAAGGTTATTCTGTTTCTTGCTTTTCTAATCTTTTTTTTCCCCCTCCTCATATCCTTGCAACTCAAACAATAAAATCATCAAGGAAAAAGATATAAGTGCCAGAAAAGAAAGAGACAAGGAGACGTGAAGAAAGAATCGCCACTGTAGACATCCATGAGTTCCCTTCCTTCAAACAGGCACACCCGTCTCCTATACCCCACATGTGGCCCCTTGGTCCTCTGAAGACCAGCACCCCACCCCGTTAGCAACAACCACATCCTGCAGCCCGTTGTCTTCACCTGTGCAAGTGTCTTACTACCTTTACAATATTCTGATGAACTAAAGGACTGCAAATATCCTAGTCATCTTTGTAAGGCTAGACATGCCTTGTGTATGCTCAGGACACCAAGAATTTGATCTGAGGGGTTACTGTTGACAAAAAAACCTGGACTAGTTAGCTTCCTTCTTTTTCCTACTGAGTTATCAAGTATTTACAATCCATAAAAAAAGACCAAGAAAAAAATTTCATGACCAAAAGACACACAAGGGATAGAAAAGTTAGTTATATGCTACTAACTCTTACAAAAATCTCTTATGTTAAAAACAAGAATCAGACAAAATATCCTAGCCTATTCTTGAATACAATTCCTGAGTTACAATACTTTGAGCATCATGTTCAAGACAATTATCATGTGTCCTATAATACCAAATTATATTTGTTTAGTATTTTACTATAACATCTTCGTTAACTCTTTGCAACAATCTAAAATTCCACCTAAAGCCCAGCTTAATGTTTGCTCTCCTTTCATATTCTTTCCATATAGGAAGGCCTTATTTCTGCTGGGGTATATGTTACTAATGGTTTTATATTAAATGAACAAAATTATGTCCTGTTCTCCAACACAGTAAACAATTTCACACATTTACTTACTTTGGTTTTGGGTTGCAGAACTGATATGCTGAGAATCCTAAAAACAAAACAAAACACTACTTATTAAAATATTAAGATTGCTTATAAATCTAAGAATAAAACCATACAGATTTCAAAACTGAAAAGATAGTCAACTTTCAAATATTTGGAAAAATGCAAATAATAGTGCAGAGGATACCCATACTACCCACCACATATAATTAATATTTCACTATAACCCCTACAGCTATCCATCCCTCTCCTTAATCAATCTTATTTTTTATGCATAGGTTGCAAACACTGATTAATCTGTTTTATATAAAATAGCTCCTAATGCTTTTCTTTCCTAGAGTTCATTTTTCTTTTGACATTGAGCAAAGATATTTTTACAGAGCTTAGAGCTTTATTTTAAAAGCAGTAATAATGAATCATCTTTTTTATAAAGAATCATCATAAATAGGTAATATCTAACTTGTGGTAAATTTGGGTTTGTGTACATAATAAATTCTTTTGAAAAAAGTACCATAGGAAGGAACAGCTGTAAATACATGCATAGTAGGCTGGGAAGAACACAGTTCTGAAGGTGCTACAGCTACAGCCGGAAGGTCATTCACATGTAGAAGCCCAAATCAGGAAAGATGGCTGTGTATAATACACTGTTCAAATACTATAATGGAAAAATGTGAGCCGGCATGAGTGTAGCTGATCATATTAAACATTTAAGAAAATTTAGGAAGTATGAGACATGTAAGATGTGTTCACGTATTTATATCTCTAAGTCTGAACTAGGAATCAGATTGTCTACTCAATTTCCCATCTCCATAGGAAGAGAATGTATTGAAAAGTCCAAAGTGCTAGATAAGCTGTATACATAAGCCATAAAGCCCTATGCAAATATAAGATGTTCCTCCTAACATAAGTTGGAGGATAAAGTGTTTGAGAGCATAAGGAAGCACTGCAGGGCCAGATACACTGTGATTTTTAACCTAATCTCTAAAGACTTCAACAAATAATACTTCAGAGACATGCCTTGCAGCAATACCTCGCACTTTTCACTGGTGTGGACACCATGCCTGTGTACTTTAAGGAATTACCTTTGTAGGGAAAGGAAACTTGGATGGCTCAGCTGTACTAGGCGTATGTATTGCTGTCAAAGGAGGAGGCCATGAATGGGTCATTTCCTGGAAAGTTTGGAAAGGGAAGAAACGGCAAGTTACAAATAGAACATTCATTTCTACATAAGTTAAATTTTAACTTAATACACAGTGGATTTATGGTAAGTGAAAAGTACATTTGGAGAGGGGAGAGGGGAGCGGGTACTGGGGATGGAACCCAGAGGTGTTTTACCACTGAGCTACATCCCCAGACTTTTTTAATTTTGAAACAGAGTCTCACTAAGTTGCTTAGGGCCTCACTACCGTGCTGAGACTGGCCTCGAACTTGCGATCTTCCTGCCTCAGCCTCTTGAGTTGCTGATATTGCAAAATGTGTACCACCACACCCTGCTGAAAAGTACAATCTTGAAAAAGTCATTTACTTTTTTGAAAACCATTTGAACTGGTTATGTGGAAAGCTGAAGAACTCCAACTTATAAAACTGAAAAAAATCAACTTTGAAAAACAAGTATGTAGATGAATGGAATCAATCCTTTGAATATTGTAATGCACACAAACTGTAACAGGTGCTGGCAGAGTTTATGTAACAGTGAGGATGTTAACAGCAGACTGTGCTGGGCAAACATCTCCACTCTGCTTTCTTTCTCCCTCAACTTCTTTACTGCATTTCCTGGAATTACTGAAGTTCAAAGGAAGAACTTTCCTGTTTGACTTAAGCAAACAAGTAATTCAGGCCACTTGATCCACTTAGAGTTTTAGTGGATTTGACCCTTCATTTTCCATTAAGAAAAGTGTAATTTTTTTTTTCTTGAATTTCTTGGATGAAGGCAAGATTTCTAAAGCTTACAAACCAATATATTTATATTGACATAAATTTTCCTAGGCATGTTTGTGAACTTGATTTTGCTTTGCTAACAAACTGGTGGAAAACAGTTATGTCAGATAAAGGGCATGTCTAATCACAAACATACATGTGTGAGCATGTGCACACACACACTTTTTGAAAGGGCTAAAATGGCATTGGAGATGATTAATTCAAACTCCAGCATTCTACAGATGAGAAAACTGAGGTCCAAAATGATTGGGCCAAAACCTCACAGGAAAGCTGAAGGCTGCAGAGCACAGTTTGTAGGCCTCTCTTTCTTACCACATATGTTGCAATTGCTGGACAAACTAGCTTAACAATCAACAGGCAACTCTCCACCAGCAAGCTGGTGAGCCAGGGGAGCTGTGGTATCTAATTATGCATCATAACACTCCATTCTTTTCAAATGCTAGCTAACTTCTCTATTTGCACTGATATGCCATCTGATCTTTGCCACAATGGGAGGTGGAGTTTTAGAAAGTACTTTCACCTTCTGCACTTCTTTCCCTGCCTTTCCCCACCACCACTCTGGGTTGCTGATAGCCCCAGGACAGACTAGAGAGACCTTGTGCAGTGATGAGCAGCATAACTCATGCTGGCTCTGAATAATTTTTGTGGAAAGTGAAATCATGCTCTTATCTGCTGACTGGCCATCTGCTTTGTTCAGTACACAACAGGCGTTCTGTACTAAAACATACTGGAAAGAGTAACAGCTCTGCAGCCAGGGACCTCAAATGGAATTGTAACTCTAACCCAAATCTGCCGTGTCAGCCTGGCAAAGTTGCCTGAATTCTGGGCTCCAGTTCCCAGTAAAGGGTGGACTAGAACTACTTATTTTTTAAAGTATAATAAGGACAGTTTAACTACAGTGCTTGGATACATGACATACAGAAGGCAGTTAATCAATGGAAAGCATTACAACTTTAATTAAAAGTCCAGTTTTAAAAGAATTTCAATATTGCACCAAGGAGAGATACCTACTGTTTTATTCGTTTGGCAATAGTTTAGGGCATGGAATCACTATAATGCTATAATACAAAACCATGTAATGATTAGTTGAGGAGACATCTGAAAGCATCACCCTCATGTTTTATAAGAGTTTCTTAAGAATCCTGATGTTATCTATGACTTTTAGTCACCAATTATTCCCCAACAATATCCATTGTTGCTCTCAATGCCTAAGGCTGTCCCAGCTATTAAATGAGGCAGTTGGAAAGTACATAAATTCTTTCAGACCCTAAGTGGTTCCCTGGTAGTCTGAAAGAATTTATATACTTCCCTAAATGCCTAACTTGCCAAAGGGACTTAGGCATGAGGAGAATTGGGGCCATTACTAGGGAGAGGAAGCTGTCCAGAAAGAACCATGAGACTGAGACTTTGTTCCCTACTTAGTAACAACTTATCACAAAGACTGAGCCAAGGCAGGAGGCACCTTCAAGGCTCAAAGCTGCCTCTCTTCTCCTTGCTATTTACTCTCACACTGTCTCGTTCTAGTTGTTCCTCTCATACACCAACTTCTCCCATCCCAAGGCTTCCCCTCCCCCTCAAGGCCACTGTTTGTTGGCCTCTCATATCTCTCACAGCCCCATCACTGTATTGTATGTTTTCCTTTCTCACCATGCCTCCAGGAGATCAAGGACTCCATTTGCTTCACTGTGGCATCCCAGTGCCTACAAGAGTATCTGGAGGTTTCACAGATAGTTGTTGAATGAATGATAAATAATAATGCTACCATGCATTATGCCAGCCTCACTGGCATGTTGAGCAGATGTGGAGACCAAACTACTCTAAGTAGAAAGCAACAGCATTTTCCATATACCTGCTGAGGGCACGCTGTCCTTTCTGGCCATAGCACACGGACCATCTCCTGGTTACTAGCAGTCTGTCTGCTATCTGCCTACCCTATCAACTTGTAGAAGTGACAGGCCACTTCCCCTTCATTAGAATACTTCCACTCTAAATGTTGCCCTCAGAGAACCAAACAACATCTTCTGTGCTTGATCTTTGCTGTTAACGAAGTATTTGCTGCCTCTAGCACCCATCAGAAAGATCTGCGATTGGATTCCTGACAATCTTAATAAATTGCTGGTACAAGATAAGAATAGGAAGCTTGAGGCAGGGCATAATGTCTGTTCTGCATCAGAGAGAGCTGGTGTGGATCCTAGAAATCATCTGCTAGTCATGAGTCTTCATTGTACCATGAGGAAACTAAAACCCAGCTAGATGTAGGACTTCAATGAGGTCGCAGACATAGGAGGGGGGAACAAACTCACAGCCTCCCCTGTGAAAATTTTGGTCCATACCTTCTCAGACCTGGCATCACTGTTATTTGCTTTCTCCACTTACAATTTCCAAATGAACACACATACCTTCACTTGAATAAACCACTTACTCTCAAGTGCTTCCAGCTAGGCAAGAACTCATTAAAGTGATGTTGGATAAAAGGGGAGGGAGAGTAGATGGGTTTATTAAATTAAAAATACTTGTCTAATGCTATAGTTCCTAAAGAAAGGATGTGATCTGTCTCCCATTAAAGAAACATCAAAATCTAAAAGAAGCACGGAAACATTTAAATATGCAGATGATAAACCTGTATAGTTGCAGCTGCTTTTTATACTTCAGTCATTTATTCTTTTTATGACTCACTATAGGAAAGAATTTCAGAAAAAGGGGAGGGAATAGATGATACAAAAACCTGATCAAAGGTAATTTGCTTAATAATCTTACGTGTTGATTGTCAAAATTTTCTAATCCTTAGCAGCTCAAAGTGGATTACTTAAGAGGTAAAAAACTAACTATATAAGAAGGGACAAAAGATTGTAAAACAAAAGCGAAAGAAGTGTTTTCCAATGATCTATTTCACGGGTGACAAAGTAACTAATAATCAATATGTTTATTTGCTGGCTGCAGTCATCACCATCAATTAATAACTTTACAATGAAAAATTAAAGAGATTGGATAGATTTATATTGAGGGGACAATGAATATTAGAGATTAAAATAGGCAAATATGTCATCTCTCTCTTCTAATTTGAAAAAAAATTAGAAACTTTATAATAAATGATAAAGAATTTTTATGTCATTTTTACTGATACTTAGAAACCATAAAATATATACACAAAACTGTTACTACAATTTAACTATATTTGAGTGCTAAAATTCATCTCTAGATTTTCTAGAAATTAAAGTCAAAATAGGAAACATGATAGTTTATGTAGCTCTTCTCAGATAAAAAGAAAGCATGTCAGTTCAAGAAGGATATTTTTTTTTCCTAGAGTTGAATTCTAGAAAGAATTTGTCATGCTTGTACAAGGAAACCTGAACAAGTGGATAATTTATTCAAAGACTCATTTGTAGAAGCAGCACAAATGTTTGGAACAGTCTCAATAAATGAGCAAAAAAATTAAAATTAAAAAACCTCTAAGGTAAAACTAAAGATGTTTGTTTATTTCCCCTTTTTTTGTTTGTTTTGGGGAGTGGAGGGCCTTTAAAATTTCAATGACTCATTCAAAAAAAGGCAGGAGAGGGGCTGGGGATATAACTCAGTTGGTAGCGTGCTTGCCTTGCATGTACAAGGCCCTGGGGTTCCATCCCTAGCACCACCACCAACAAAAAAGGCCAGACATACCAGGTGTCACTAGACCCCAAGATATACAGATTCCACACTGTTTGATCCCTGCTGCCTCCCAGGTGACATCAACCCAGGGGTTTCCTCTCTATGACCTGATCTTCATGGATAACCAGAAAAATGTGAACACTACCATAAAACTCTGGCCCCAATACCCTGCAGTTTGTAAACGTCATTTTAATTAATAAAATCTGTTAGAGAATTCCTAAGTCTCCCTTTCTTACTCTTCTGGTTTATTTGGCTGTTGGAGGCATAAATGGGAAAAACCTGTTAAAAGAGGGTTGGAAATGGTAGCTGTCCATTAAAGCAATACATGTTTGCTTGCTTATATGTCTCTTCAAATGACAAAAATCAGCTCACCTTTAGAATTTCTTCAACACAATGGACTTCATTGGAGTACGTCTGCTAAAAGTGAAAAGAAGGAAAAGATGAGTAAACACAAACAACATCTAGGAGTGATGATAATGATTGACACTGATGTCCACAGCAGCGCTCAAAGGCTAGCTCACCTCCAGGTCCACATTTCACTAGGAACTTTGCATTCTGGATGAATAAGACCAAAGAGATTCATCTAGCTTGATCTTAGGGAAATGCACAAGGAAACAGTGAGCAGAAACCTTGGCAGACAACTTTCCCTCAAGTCAAAAGTTAATCAATGGAAAAATTGTGTATTAAAGAAATAGTACCTAAGTACCTTTAGATGTATAACACATACAGCAGAAATGGAGACAAAATGATTAAAACAGGTAACTCCAGCTCAAGTTAAATGAATACAAAAATGGCAATCATCTGAACTCCTTAGTAGTTCAATTGAGAATACCCCTTTATTGCCACGCACAGTGGTACACACCTGTAATCGCAGCAACCCAGGAGGCTGAGGTAAAAGGACTGCAACTTTGAGGCCAGCCTCAGCAACTTAATGAGACCCTATCGCAAAATAAGAACTTTTAGGACTGAGATGTGGTTCAGGGGTAAAACAGCCCTGGGTGCAACACACAGCACCCAAAAAATTAAAATAAAATAAAATAACAACTCTTTATTAGTATTGTTTTTTTAATATCCTAACCTACCAAAATTTATTTTAAAGTTAAAAATGTCTCTCACCCTAGTCAACATTATCACCTTATACACACACACACACACACACACACACGTGTGCATACAAAAATTTCCCAGCAAGTAAACGTATGTATAGGGAGAGGAAAAGACAATACAAAAAGCAACATTCACACTGTCCTGAAGTCGAAATTTAATGGACATGTCAAATTCAACTGCAATTTGATTTGCTTAGGTGTGTGTTTTAAACATTTAAGTTTCCTGGAAATAGCTTTATTCAAATTTTCATACTCTGTTATTGTTGAGGTAGGGCTACGAAGTTTGGGGGTATAACAAAAAGAATTGAGGGTATTCCTAAAACCTGCACCCACTCAGACATTCTGCATGTGAACAACTAGATCTGCTTTTTGGTTTTCAGAACCATTAAAAGATATCTAACAACTGGACCCAACATTACTGCTCTGTTTTAGCAAAGGTAGAGAAATGAGTGCTGTTTTCATCCAAGGGTAAAACACAATATACTGTGGTTTTAATGTATTATTAGAAAAAAAAAAAATACGTATTGAGATAACTTGACAGAGTATATGATTACATTAACTCTGGACAAAGAGTCCCCTCATTCTACCTATCACTGGAATGAAAATGGTAATCCAATTATAATATGTGCAATCAATGAAAATAATGAGTATACTGAATAGAGGCAAAAATAAGATAAAAATTTATCCACTGTTTCCAATAGAATGAATGAGAAAGCTATACCTTCAAGACAATGAAAGAACTTTTTATCTGATCTTCCTAATAACTCAACTTTTAACCAAGACTTCATATCACCAAAGATACACTTTAAAAAACACTTATTCTTGGGCTGGGGATGTGGCTCAAGCGGTAGCGCGCTCGCCTGGCATGCGTGCGGCCCGGGGTTCGATCCTCAGAACCACATACAAACAAAGATGTTGTGTCTGCCAAAAACTAAAAAAAAAAAATATTAAAATTCTCTCTCTCTCTCTCTTAAAAAAAAAAAAAAAAAAAAAAGCACTTATTCCATAGGAGGAATCAGGACTGAGGAAATTTTCCTAGAGCTTATCTACAGATAAGCAACATTGACCTTATACAGATACTCATAAAGAGCCTCCATTAACTCATTAAAAATTCTAAATAAGGTCTTGGGTTCAAGTTAGTTGGTTAAATTACTATGAATTTTCCTAGGAGTCCCATTATGGGAGTAGAGGTGTTTCAAAGTGGAGCAAGAGTTCTATTTCAGCCACATAAGGCAGTATCATATTTTAAAAAGTCCCAGCCAGAGGAATAGACGAACTCTAGATAGGGTAAAGGGGTGGGAGGGAATGGGAGGGGGCATGGGGTTAGAAATGATGGTAGAATGTGATGGACATCATTATCCAAACTACATGTATGAAGACACAAATGGTGTGAATATACTTTGTATACAAGCAGAGATATAAAGAATTATGCTCTATATATGTAATATGAATTATAGTATATTCCATTGTCATATATAACAAATCAGAAAAAAAAATAATTTTTTTTTTTAAAAAGTCCCAGCCAGATGTGATGGCACACACCTGTGATCCCAGCTATTTGGGAGATGGGAGGATAACCCATTCAAGACCAGCCTGATTAACTTAGAAAAAACCTGAGTCAAAATAAATTTTTGAAAGGTCTGTAGCTCAGAGTGCTTGCCTAGCCTAAAGTGAGGTCCTGAATTCAATCTGCAGTACTGAAAAACAAACCACAATAACAACCAAAAAAAAAAAAAAACCCTAAGGATTCCTGTCTATAATGCAAATAATTGAAAATGATCAAATGCCCAACAACAGGAGTCCAGCTAAAATACATGCCTGCATATAACAATTATGTTATGCAGACTTAGTATGAGCTTTTATGGAAAGGTGCTCAAGATAATATACTTTAAACTTTTTTCCTTAGAAATAATTTTGTTTAGGAAAAACTGCTAAAATGCTAACAGGAATTCGACAAGCTCTTTGCCCAGATTCCCAAATATTAACATTTATTTTTTTCTCTACCCATCTTCACACCCACATACACTGAGCCCTCTCTGAGATTAAGTTAGTTACGACCCCTTTACTCTTAAATACTTCTATGCTCATCAAGCCACTTTTTAAGCCTGTAGTTAAAAGAGGGCAGTTACAAGACAAGTCTGTACAGTATGAGTCCATTTTACCTTCCATGTGTCTGAGATTCACATCTCCATTTTTCTCCCCATCCAAATTAGAGGCAGTCAAACTACAGAATAGGTCTTTCAAGTGTGACTACAAAGAAAGATCTATAAGAACAAACTGTCTCTTTTAAGAACAACTTGGTACTTCCAAGTTGGCCACTGGAAGGGGACGTCCCAAGAGGGAAGGGGAGGTTGTTGGAATAACCATGACATGCTAATCCCATTCTTAAAATCCACATTCCTCATAGGGTCTTTATCTCAATACTGTCACTCCTACAAAGCAGAACCAGGCTCTCCCTTTAACACTGTGACCAAAGAATAAAAAATATAATTGGTCCTGCCAAGTCTCTCTGCAACACAGCTGAATTCAAGAGATGATTTATTTAAAGAAAGCAACAACAAACATCTATAACAGCTGTATGGATCAGGAAACTCTAGTTAGCAGGTCCTTTCTGTCTGGTTCTCCCCCCATGGTATAGACACCAACTCTATTATGACCACAAATTTCACTGCTGTCTCCCACCCTCAAATCTAGGTGGGAGATATGTAGGCCAGGTGGGCTCTCCCCTCTGCCTGTTTGTGGTCACTTCACATATCAGGTTTCCTGTATAGAGACTAACTGCCCAGCAGAGATCTCACTTCCCCTATGGGGTATGGCCTTAACACAGGAACCATAATTCTTCTCAATTTTTAAAAATTATATTCATTCATTAATTCATTTATACTGGCAATTGAACCCTGGGGTACTTTATCAGCAAGATACATCCCCAGTCCTAAAAGTTTTTATTTTGAGATAGGGGCTCATTAAGTGGCTGAGGGTCTCGTGGAGCAGTTATTTACTGAATGCATATTGCATTAAACTCTGTACGTAAATTAATTCTTCAATCCAGTTATAAAGTCAATTATTAGCTTAGCAGGGAGGAGAGCTACGACACTAAATGTGCCCATCAACTGTAAGATACATCCCTATTATAGAAGCTTTAGAATGAAATAAAAATGTCTCAGGAATGCTGTAAAAGGCTCAATTTAATTCTCAGATGAACCTTTGTGATACATATTATCTCAGTTTTTAAAACAAGGAGATTGGAATTGCAAGTCTAAGGTTACACAAAAGTTCTGAAGTGGCTAAGCCTTATCCCATCAAACTGACTTTCCAAAAAGCTCAACATTTGTGCAGGAGACTAACATATCAGTTTCTTAGGAGGTGGTGTGATTCCAGTCCTCCTATGCTTGACCAAAGCCCTATTTCAAAGAGCAACATCTTTCATCTGTTCCTACAAAGAAGCATTTTGGTATTCACATTTGACTACCTGTTACCCCCACAAGTGCTTCAGACCAGAAAACGCAGAAAGCTCGCCTGGGTCTGATTTCTTGCTTCTCTTGGAATGATACTGTGAAACCATAAGGAAATGCATTGATACTAAAATAAAATATGTTGGTAAATGTCTTCTAAGCATGATATAGTGTGTTTATAATAAGCTTAAAAGACCTGGATGGAAAAAATACATCTTACTACTGAGACAGGGAGGTTCTTGGCAATATTATATTTTAAGCCTCTCAAGTTTCAACAGAGCAGCATTTTTATAACAATACTATTCTCAAAAAGGCTTAGTTATCACTAACCAGGAAATACGGCAAGCAGCAGGCAGAAGAAGGAAGCCTAAAGAGCTTAGATCCCAGATCTGGCTCTGCTGCAGACTCACTCTGCAATCCTGGATAAGATTCAACCTCTTTGGGAGCATTTCCTCATTGTGATAAGGGATAATAACACCAAACCTAACCACTTCACAGGGTTGGTGTGAAGGTCAAATGTGAAAACATGGAACTTTAAAAACTGTCAAAAGTATCTATATCTACGGAATAATACACAGTGCCAAAATTAATCATCAAAACATTCTTCAACAGTGTCACAGCTTTTAAAATCAAACCTCAATAGTTTCACTATGTGAAGTTTAACTTAAAAAATTAACATAAATGCCTATTTTTCTTCAAATGTGTCACTCATACATTGCTGTTCAGTTTATTTATTTGCTGCTTAGTTAGCCCCAAATGCCTGCAACCCTCCCACTGAGCCTTCAGTTTGCAGGTGAAAAACTATCCTTTGGAAAACACTCCCTTACCCCTCAGCTGTCCAGGTGTTCTGATGTTCAGA